TGTGATGGTGTCTCCTCTGCTTCCTCGCAGAATCTGCACGTGCTGTGTTGGGTTATACCAATCTTCAGATATCCATTCGATATGCAGTACCCCGTTTTCTTAAGTTTTTTCTGTTTCCTTTGGTACGTTCTATTTCTTTCCTTTCACAATTTGCTAGAAGGTTCTTGGATTCTTAATGTCCAACGAGAGAATTGCACATTTTCCTCGTTTTCATTTCGTCTTTTTGTCTGAGATACTGGACGATAATGTTGAGGAACCTATGCACAGAAGGGACCAGGACCTGTCGTCACTATAGAAGCCATCTTCGTACAAAGGGAGTCCTTGCCCTCTACTCCCACATGTCCTCGGACCCAGAAGAGTGTGAATATACGATATATGACTGACACCAGCATGATTTCAAGGTTTAATCTATTTTGAAACAGAGCAAGACGTGGCTTTTTTGGTTTCACTTCAATTTTCAAATTTCATTGATCACCAATTGATATTTTTCTTACTATTTTGAATATTTTCATTGTCTGTAGAGGTTGAAGATAAAAAAATATGAATTTGGTAAATTATAAAAATTGTGTTCATAAAAAAAATTGAAGTTTTAAGTACGCATTTGGAAATTATTTTTCCGACAATTTCCAAAAGTGACCTCTGAATACGCTTTGCTCAATGTTGCCGTTCGTGCGGCACGAAACTATTTCTTTTACACGAGCTTCTCATTATTTGCAATAGATAATTTAATAATAACTCGTTTCGAAATAGGTTTTTCCTGTGTAATCGTTTTGTGAGCATTTCTGAGCCGGATCGATTACAGAAAGCGAACAATTTTCGAAGTTCCACCTCGGATTGTGTCGAACACTGTTGAAATATGCCAACTGGGAGACACCGGCAGTCAAAAAATCCCATGTGCAAATTTATTTATTTGTTTATTTAACGGACAACCACACTTACTTTTGTGAGTAAACAATGTGGAAAAGTAACAGTGTACAAAGTAAACTAAAATGTATGAGGAAAATATTCAACGAATATAAAATGACGTTTACAAAAATTTTTAGAAATATTAATTGAAGTAATGGTATAATAATATAAAGCTAAAATTATTATATATGTATTTGTAACCTATATAGATTTATGTTTTGGGTTATCAACTTCTATAGTCCACCCATTTAATTCGGAAACGATTAACTTTAACAAAAAGTGGTCTTTCACAAACCCCAAGTTAATTTTGGCTAGGAATCCTTCTGGATTTAACATAACTTTCTTATCTAGCTGGGAAATAACACATAAATGAGAATCCCATATTTTTATTGTCGATGGAAGACGCATGAGGAGGGCATGCTTTTTGTAACAAGAGGGCCCTCCCCGTTTATTTCGATTAGCATTAAAAAGTTTATTTAGGAAAGGAATCGTCTCAGAATAGCGTGGGAATCATGGGACTGCTTTACTCTTAGCATAATATTCGCGCATCACTCAGAAATGGTTGATCCTATTAAAATTTTCCTTTCAGTAAAAGTGGCATAAAATAAGCTCTAGAATCGAATTGTATTTATGGGATTCTCATTTCAAATACAAAGTTCAAAGTACGAAAGTCCAGCTCGATAAGAAAGTTATATTAAATCTGTTAACACCACGCGATTCCTAGCCAAAATTAATTTGGAGTTTGTATAAGACAATTTTTTGCTAATGATGATCGTTTCCGAAATAAATGAGTGGACTATAGAGGTTGATACACCCTGAATATTACAAATGGTCACTGTATGTTTTTCTTATCACCCTAATGCCAACGTCTCACCCGGAGGACACACGGTATGAGAAGCCGGCCAATACTGGCACTCAGTGTGAGGGACTAAGGGGCAATGAGGTCTCGAGGCCATTGCCGATTAAGGCTATGTGACGGGTTGTTGGGATGGGAATGTGTGGAGAGCGCTCGAGAAGTAGGGTTAGGATGGATCGAGAAGTAGATGTGAACTTTTTGGACTCGAGAACAGATCAGTTAGTTCCACAAATGGAATGTTGAGGTCGTTATGGATAGTGAGGTTAGTGACGTATTAAGGAATTTTGGCGATGTGTCTGAGGACGTTTGATTCGAAGGATTGGATGCGCAGAATGCTGGATGGCTTGGCAGAACCCCACAGTTCCACTCCGTATGTCCAAACTGGTCGAAATAAAATTTGGTATAACGCTAGTTGAGTCTTGACGGTCAAGACGGAATTTCGTCCTAGGAGTCTCCTGGGATAGACCTTGATATTTAACTCAAGTGCAAGTCAGTATCTCTTTGTTGCTGAAGTACAGTGGAGGTCAAGACTGTTTTTTCAATGTAGTATAATCGGTCTTGCCTTCCACTTTTTGTGCCAGTGTTCGATAAGTTAAAGATGTTCTTGGATATTTGAGGTAGATTGGGTAGGTATACAACAGTGTTACGCAGTTAAAGCTAAATGATAACTGACACACAAGTTATTCAATCATTTAAAATAATATATCGCGCACACACACACTTTCAGTATGGTTCCTAGTAACTCTCACTCTCCATATCTCTCTTTATATCTTCCTCTCACACACACTCTTTCACTCTCTCTCCCCTCTCTCCCTCACTCTCTCTCCCTCCCTCTCACTCTCTCTCACCCTCTCCATCTCCCTCTCCCTCTCCCTCTCCCTCTCTCTCTCTCTCTCTCTCTCTCTCTCTCTCTCACTTTCAAGATTAATAACAAAATTGATAAACTACAACAGCAAAAAAAAGACATCTTCGCAACATCAAGTTTACTAATTTAATAATAAATTGGATGTGGTCTAAACTGCTCAAAAATGAATTCGGATATATTTGTAATTTATTACCATTAGATTTCGTTGTCCGATTGACCAAATAACCTCTTTCAATTAATTAATCTTTATTTAAGGCTGTAATTTATTCTTATTCCATTCATTCAAATTAAATTAACCGATATATTCTTGTTAGTTGGATAAAACAAAATAGAAAATACAAACCAAAAACAAATAAATGTTAATCCTCATTTTTAATAACGGATTTTAAGAATAAATAGTAAACAATGACGATTACTCATTTTGTAAACGAACTTGTCTCCATTTTAATCCAGTTGTATTCTATTTAACCATGGAAAGACATCATCTTGAACCAGAAGATAGCAATGTTATTGTGAGAATGAGTCATCAAGGTCATCGGCAAGAGGATATCGCAGAGTCAGTTGGCGTTGCTCAGAGCGCGGTTCTCCGAGGCTTTAACCCCATTCCGAGAAACTGGAAGTACCAATAGGAGGACTAATAGTGGATCTCACCGTATTACGACGTTAAGAGAGGACACAAATATGACGAAGAAATTATAGAGGAATACATCCCATAAACTGGGGATCTCATCGGCAGGGATTTTCGATTTCTGGATGACAATGCCAGACCTCATAGAGGCAGAGTTGTTCATCAATGTTGAGAAAACCTGGGATTTTCCCATCTGCCCATTGCCTGCACATCTCAAACCAATTGAGCACATGTGGGATGCGTTGCAGAAGAGCCTTTTCGATCACCATCCTCAGCCAGTGGACCTGCGACAACTTAGGGCATCTATGGAGAGAAATTCTTTATGAAACTATCGGCAACCTTATTAACAGCCTAACCGGTGACGGAGGTTTTAGCTAACAGAGGCCATTGTATACGTGGTATAAATTGTTTTTAAAAATTATCGTGTCCAATAAATTTTATTTTGGTATTTTTCAAAATCCCTTTATTAAATTTTCCTTCAAAAACATAATAATTTCTAATAAATTTTAATGCGATTTATAATAAAAATGCTAGCAAAAGTAAATACTACAAAATTGGCAATATCCCTATTTTTAACCAGTTAATTTTACAATTTTGACCAAAATCGACCACAACCCTGATCCTTACATCAATTATTAATAGAAGTTGGTGTTCGTATTTAAGGACTTGAAAGGGTACTTAACCAATCCAAATGCTAAAGAATTTTTTGTACATGGGCGTAAAACATATAAAACATAATAAAATCAGTTTTTGTTGATTTTTCCTTATTTTTCTCAGAAGTATAAACGAAAGGCATACAAAAGTTAAAGATGAGAAATGCAGCTTTGCAACGATTGGAATAACGTGAACCTTTGAAAAAACTCAGAGGAGTTTTAAATGAAACAGAAAATAGGAGAAAAAATAATCGCTCCTATCTAATAAAGCTCTAATAAAGTCCATTTTTTGTTTACTATAAAACTTTAGATTTAAGGGTTTTATTTACTTACCGACCTTACAGGGAGCGTAAAACATAGAAAATAAGACGTTTGTGATTCTATTGATTTAATCCCTATTTCTCTTACAAAAATGACAAAACCTAATCCATATTGATAAAAGCTGAATTTTTGATAAACTTACTTCCTAACAACGTCGAATCTGAATGACAAAACGGATATGGAAGAAAATTTTCCCTAGCTTATCCAGCCAAAAATTCTATATTTTTCGTTTGGTAAAAGTCGCATTTCAGGGGTTAAAACGAATCTTAATTGGTTTCTTCAAAAACAAATATTTTTTGAAATACTTTACTAGAAGCGTCTTTTAGTTTTTGTAACATTTGGCATATCTAAACCATCTAATACGATCCTGCTTACTATATTCTTATACTAGGTAAAACAACGAATAGACTGATGCTTAAAAACCTTAAAATACGTGCAGAACAGGGGCACAGAATCAAATTTTAAAAAAATGTAAAAAACTTGTAATAACGTTGAATATTGTTCAACTCCAGGGATGTGAAATTTTTAAGTGAGAAACCGGATATAGGAGAAATCGAAATTGCTTCCAATTTAACCAGCCTCAAAAATGTATATTTTTTGTTTTCTATAAAAATTCGTATAAACTTGATATGAAAACTTTTACGTTTGGTAAATCTATACAAGTTGGTAGGGGTGAAGATTGAAGATTCCAATTATGAACTGGATAAAACAAATTTTATGTTTGACAAATATAACAATCAATGCTATGTTGAAGACAGAATATTCCAAAATGTACTCGCTTCGGCGGTACATATACTAAAATTGGAACGATACAGAGAAGATTAGCATGGCCCTGCGCAAAATTGTGAATATTCCAAAATGGAGATTTTAGATTTGTGCCGAAAAAACAGTGTTGCCATTACACGGGATGAAACAGAAGGAAAAACACTGCACCCTCACTAAACTCCTGGGATTATCTAAGCATTAACAAATTTGCTAAACTTGGTGTGTTTTGATTGAAGGGTGTTTAAATCGTATCCAAATTGTTTTTTTGTTGATTTAACGAGTTTTTGGCTTACTTTCGGAGCTGGCTGACTCCTTCGGTTTTTGTAACTTTTTAGATATTTAAACTCATTTAATGCCACCCTGCTCATTATATTCTTATCCTAGGCGAAAGAACAAATAGACCGACAACTTTAAATTCTCTTTTTTTTTTTACGAGGGTTTGCAACAGCAGAGGTCATATCAACCCTCAGGTGGTTTTTTGAAAAAAAAAAAGCCCATTTGTAAGTATGTGGGTTTCGAATGAAGGGCCGCTGGATTCGAACCCAGGACCTTTACCTTACAGTGATGTGCGCCGTGTCAACGCCACCGATGCCCCTAAATTATTTATTGTACATTTTAAGTTTGCGATACTAGGAAAGACTTAAAAACTTAACACGATACCTCATGGATATTATTTAAACATTAACTCGCACTGTTTTATCGATTGGTGAAATCCTCAAAAACAGTCCTTTCTCCTACGTGTTATATTGAATCTCGAAAATCACACGAATATACAAACAAAAAGAAAAAAAGAAGATAACTCGTTAAAATTTGGAAAGCAAATTTTGGGCTTCAATAACATAGCGTATAAAGCCGGTTTATTAATAAAAGTCAGTTTTTTTTCTATTCGTCAAAATTGATCAGTGAAAGGAGCGTAATTATATAATGGCTTGTGCCGTAACCGTTAACCGTAAGCAAGATAGCCAGAATATCTTTTGCCACCGTCGTTTCGTGACACTTCCAAGCTCATTGTCCACCGGAATGAGCGACTCTGAGGGAAATTCAAAGATTGTCTGCTCTTTTCATTCTTACATTGTGACTTAACAGGAATGATACATATTGGCTCGGTCCTGTATTGACTAGGACACACAATTACAAAAGCCTTTTTTTCTTCTTTTTTGTAAATCTTTGCCAAGCAGTTTCGACTACATTTAAAAAAAAATTAAGGATTCCTCACATCAAGGAATTTACAATTATTTCATAAATACTTGACTATATTAATAATTAATCATTCAGGGTTAAGGGAAAAATTATAGTTAAATCGTTTGGAAAATATTAATTAATTATTGATAGCTGTTGGTTTTATCCATATACTTGACTATTAACTAAAACAACTTTCAATTCGCTTCAACGTCCAATTTGTAAGTGAACTTTGCCCTGTTATGCAAATTGTCGATTAAATTAATGTTTCTTTTTAAATACACAAGCTTTGTCACACCTAACTGAATAATAAAAAAGCAAAAAAAATTAGTATTCACGAATAAAATTTTGAAATTAAACACTATGATAGCCATTTTTCCAAATTCTGTTTAAAATCATTTTTAAAAATTAAAACTAAACTTTTAACATGTAAAGCTACAAAGAACCTAATTCCACGACAATTCAATAACTGGCTCATAATTCAACTCATTATCAAAAAATGCCAAATACGATTTTATATTAATGGCATTCAAACAATCTGTACTGATCGTGTTAAAGTTAAGAATTTTATTTTGAACTTAATATGCTATTTTCGAACGAATAACTCTACGCTAGCAAGATTGATAAACCGACTTATTAAAAAGATGGATAAAATTCAATATTATATACTTTTTTACAAATACTATATATAATTTTTCATTTTTCAGTATTTAACAAAAATCATCAACTTAGCAGGGAATCCCAAGTAATTTGAAGTTTACCTCAAACGTTTATCAAGGAATCCATAGATTGTGTGCGAAATTTTTAGCAAGACTAAGTACAGAGAATGCCCTAACAGCCACTTAGGACAAAATAAAATAAAACCCGCAACGTATTATGGTAACAGATGATCCAAAATGGAACAGAGTTGGGGCAGGGGTTAAATTTATGGATATCTCACATTACTAATCTAACGTAAACCGTCCATAACCCTCACTTTAACCCTACCTTAACCAAATTCTTATCGCATCTTAGCCTAACTCATCCATAAGTATAACTCTAACCGAACGTAACCTAACTCATTCCTAACCAAATTTCTAACCATACCTAACCTAATCTGTCCATATCGCTAACACTAACCTAATCTTAAGTTAAACCCTTGCGCTACCTAACTTAATCTAAATCGTCCCTAACCATAATTCTAACCCTATATTAACCTTTCCCTGACCATAACTCTGTTCCTACCCTAACCTTAATTATTTTGTCGACCTTACTAACCTTAACCCTAGCCTATCTTAAACCTTGATTTACCATTACTCTAATCGCTCCCAGCCTAAACCAAACCCTAAACTCTAATGCCTATCTTTACCCTACCGCGACTTACATTTATCCAACCTATCCTAAATCGTTCTTGAACATAACCCAAACCGTACCTAACTCTAACTCTAACCTAACTCTAATTCTAACCCTTACCCTACCTAATTTAACCTAAATCTTCCATATTCGAGTTCATCCTAAGTTATTGTAACATATCCCTGACCATAACTCTATCCGGTCCTAGCCTAAACCTAACCCTAATTATTATGCTAATCTTTACTAACTATATCTTAACCCTAACCAAACGTACCTCTTATCTAATATATCCTATCTCGTCTCTAACCTAACGTCACTTTTAGCTAACCCGCCCCTTACCATAACTCTAACCGCTCCTAGCCTAACCCTAACCCTAATTCTTATCCTAGCCTTAACTAACCCTAATACTAACCTTAACTCAACTAACGGAACCCATATCTAAGCCCCAACATTTGGCCTAGCAAAATCTCTCTCAAGATCTCTACATTATCAATTTATTTTCCAAGCTAAGATACAGGCTCTTCAGAATGGTGACATTAACGCCAAGGGAAATGATCGAAAGTGTTCAACTACGTTAAATAGTGTACTTTTTTTTTTGGGGGGGGGGGGTGAAAGGGTCGAAAGTTCACTTCCAAATCGAAGTGGAAGGAACCGTCACCAGTGACCCTAGAGCAAAAGGCTTCGCTAAAGGGATCTTTGGCTCTTATTCCCTAAAAATAAAACGCAATCAAAAAATTTCCTTTATATGTGGAAATGTCGAAAAGTCGTTCGCACATTCCGTCGCCGTAAGTCAATCGGAACTTCGGCCGAGTAAAAGTTCAAGGGCTACCTCCACCCGGAGGCGTCGTAACCCGTTCGATCGTTTCTCGTTTTTCTTCCTTCCCGGCGGCCAGGAAGGGGACCTACGGCTCCCGAATCCTCCGTTGCCAGGTGATCCGCGAAGGTGGAGGTCGCGTCGACCTGACCAGCGACGTCTGCAGAAACGACTCGTCCCCGGAAACGACTTCAAGAGTACGAAAAGGCCGGCTGAGCAGTCTGGAGGGGAGATTAAGTGGAGGGAGGGAGCATGCACTTAGGTTTAGTGAAAGTGTTGTAGGTTGTCTCACTCACTCTCAGTTTTGTCTGGTGCCCATTATGTTGACCGACCGGAGTGGACAACAACTGTTATTTACAAGGTTCGTCCCAATTCACACTCATAAAACACTTAGAAAAATTAAAACCCACCTCCCTTGAAATATCATCGGCACGAACTCCTCAGGGGGTTTTTAAATTCAACCATCGTCTTTTTGAACAACCAGAAATGATCTATCTATTATAAAAATCTTTATACACGACATTGGGATAAAGGATTATATTGAGCCTCTTCTTTTATTCTTTCTGTCGTATTGTTATTATTATTTATTTAAGGAGCCTCTTTGCAGTCTGATCAAGCACAAGTCTGTTATCATAAAGTTTACCCCAAACTTTTATAATATTTTTTTTTAAATCTGGCTCTGAGTTCAATCAATCACACTATTTTTGATTTGAAATGATAATTTTCGTCTCCTGATAAAATTAAAGCCCGCCGATTAAACATTATTTTAAAAAAAGTACGACAAAATAAAATCTTCACTGCTTCATTTATCAAAAAATGCCATTCTAATAAATTCGTAGAGGACTTTTTTTAAATTTTATCAGACTTTAAATAGTTTAATTATTTTTTCCTAGAAATGATTGAGACCAGTAAGAAAAAATTTCACTTGCAATAAAAGCAATTCTTCGGCGGAAAATCATTAGTGGATCTAGGACGAAAGGATTTGTTAATAGGGTAAGAGAAAAAATATTCTTCAAAAAAATTACGCTCATCAATCAAGAAACTATGACGAGGAACCGGTGGGATCAATCCCCCTCGGACCATAACCGTATCTGTTTAAGGTCTTCCAGATATCACAGAAAAAGGATCACGAAAAAAATGCTTTCCCCCTTTTTTGAAATGTCCAAAAAAATACATAAATTCCTTCGATAGATTAATTTTAAACTGTATGGCTATATAAATTTTTTAGTGTTTTATGGTATGAACTAAATCTTTTAAGAATGCATGATATGTTTTTTAACCCAGTTTAGTTTTAAAACTAATGCTCTCCCCCAAAAATCTTCTGATTTTTTAAGCTAAAGAAAGAAAATAGTGTTTGAAGCATTGCTGAGTCATGGGTTAAGACAAATTTACACCAGATCCCATAGCGAGGATTTGAAGTGCACTAAATTTAGCCCTTGGGTTGTTTTCTGCTGTCCCTTTATATCCAAGGGGAGAAGCCCTAAATGAGGAAGGCATTTTCCCGTTTTTCCAACAAAGATTTTTACAAAATTATCATTTACACTAGTATTTATAAATAAAGAAAACCTTGAGGTGTCCATTTTAAAAGTGATCACGCTCGTCTTGGGTTTCAGCCATTTGCCGTGCTTTCATTTTTTATTTTTCTGATATTTTAATTATTACAATTCTGTAGATTTGGTCCCTTGAATTAATTTGACCTGTGAAATTTGTCTTCGGCGATGTCCCATGTCGGATTGGCTGTCTCACCTCACCCTTCGTATATCCTGACGGACCCCTGAAGACTAACTAAGCAGTATTATTTCCGAAGTTTTTTTAAAGCTAAAGTAAGGAAAGAAAATAGTTTTATGAGGTTAAGTCATGGGTTACGACAAATGTACACCAGATCCAATAGGGAAACTCCAAGTGCACTAAATTTAACCTTTGTGTTGTGTTCTGCACTCCCTTTACATCCAAGGGGAGAGGTCCTTGAGGAGGGGCTTTTTCGGTTTGTCCAAGAAAGATTACTGAAGAATTATTGTTTATATGGGTATTTAATACCTAAAGAAAGACTAGAGGTGTGTTTCAATGAAATCATAACCTAAAGGACACATGCCATGAGAAACCAATGTAAAGTGGTTTAACCTCTCTTCCGAGCACAACAACAGTTGGACATAAAAGCCCTCCTACAAGATGGTAATTACTTTACTCACTTTTACTCCCTGCTGGGCTTCAGCGCATTTCTCACATCAAATGGCATTCCTACACGCTCTTTATATAGGTTCAAGGAATGACATCCTTTAATTAAGCAAGAAAAATCGAGAAATATTTCTCTACATGACACATGTGCGGGCTCTGGTCCAAATGAATCCTTGAATGGCCTATGGGACCGGGGTGATCGATTTAAAATCAACGCGCCAATTTCACACAAACATACAAATTGCAACTATGTTGATATTTAATTGCATTTTATTGATTTATTTTTATAGGCTCAAACGTGCATATATGCATGCATTCATGCTAATAAATACGTTCACTCTGTTGTGAATGTTCCACAAAGGAATGTTGAGGTCGCTTTGGATAGTAAGATTAGTGACGTAGTAAGGAGCTTTGATAATTCGCTTGAAGAGTCTTGATTGCACGCGGATGCGCTAGATTTGGACGGCTTAGCAAAACCCCACTCTGTATGTCCATCCAACGTGGTCCTAGTAATGTCTTGCATAATGTTAGTTTAGTGTTGACGTCAAGACAGATTTCGGTCCTAGAGGTCTTGGTAGTTGTCCGAGTCTTCTGATAGTTGTTGTCTCTTAAGCCTTCTGTTGGGATTCCACGTCAGTCAGTATAGTCCCAAATATTTGACTTGAATGAAAGTCGATATCTCTTTGCTGTTGATGTACAGTGGAAAGCAAGACTTTTATCACAATGTTTTCCTCATTCAATCTTGTCTTCCTTTTTTGCACCAGTCTTCGAAAAGCTCAAGGTGTTCTTAGATGTTGGAGGCAACTTGGGTAAGATTCGAATAATAGAACGGATTTGCTATGGTATCGGAGGGTAGGGAGGTCAGCAGTATTAATAATATAAATGATGGGCCAAGAATTCCTCCTTGTCGGACTCCAGCTTGTATCGGTCTGATTGCCGAGAACTCGTTGCCGCACCTCTGAAGCAGCCGTCTGTTAGGTAGAATTTCAGGATAAGATAATAAAGAGTGGGTAGGAAGCGTTTATGTTTATAAAGCATACCCGGTTGACTCTATAAAAAGCCTCATAGGAATATAGAAAAATAAAGAGAAGTCACGGTAGTTTTGATATTGTTAAACGGTTAAAATATTGATTTTATCCCAAAAGAATGTATTTACTGTCTTCAAAATTTTTATAAAATTATCTGAAATACCAACATTACAGACTTAACTAAGCATCTCGGAAGGAAGACACTCAAAAGATTCACATTTTTATTCAAGACCACGTGGTACAATCCGATAAATCGACAACGAGCCTCTTATGTTTTGACAATTCTCCCGAGTAGGACGGCTACAATGAATTGAACAACAAAGAAACAATGAAACGGTCAATTCGTCGCTGAATCACTTGTTGGAAGGACGCATCCTTGTCCAAAAAAAGACTGCAGATTCTTAGTCGTCCAAGATAAATCATGAGTTCCATTTCCAGTCAATTTACCATCGTTGAAGTCATTACCTGGGTCGACTTCAGGAACTGGACGCATTAAATAAATAATGATGAATAAATAAACACCTCTCAAGGAACATTTAGGTAGGTGACATTTGATTGTTCGAAGTGAAATTTATTGGGGTTAAGTTTTCTCTGTCTAAGTCTTCTAATTTTTTGAAATAAATAGTTCACTAATATTTTATTTTTTCGTTTGTTTTACTTTTGTTTACCTTCAGATATGCATTATGCAAAAACTTTTCATCCGAGTCTATTTTATCTGTATTGTCGATAATTAGATTTTTCTTTAATCTATTCCGAACGTAAACATATGTAAAGCATTTCTGAATGTAGACATGTATGTTAGATAATAGTAAAAGGAGAAAGGTGTGGCGGAGGATGTAGTTACTCGAGGTATTTAAAGTCGATTCAATCGCCTTGTTTTAAAACGATTGAAACAATGCCAAAGTTGGTTAATTTTATGGAATATTTTTCATTTTTTGTAATTTTGTCGTAAACGATCATTTAGGTATCATAGATCAATCCTAGATCTAGCTTTTGTCGGGTTCGTCTTGCGTTTCGGCCATTTTTGATCTGGTGTTTTGGATTAATTTGACCGGTGAAACGCGTTTTGTTTTTAGTGGTGTCCTTTTTGCTTTCTTGCCTCACTCTGCTTATAGTCCTGACGAACCACGATGAAAAAATTAAAAGAATCACCTCTTAGGCCTCAATGGCTCACCCTTCTTATTACCCTGACGAATCGTTGAAGATGGCCAAAAGCCCATAGACTTCTGAATGGTCAAAATGGTCGGAAAATTGAAAAGATCCTCAGGTCTCAAGATGAAATATCAATCGCAATTATTATTTGCTGTCGTTTCCACCGGCATTCCCTACCTTCAGTGGTGGGCTGGTTCCCCCCTCATTGTTCGTATTTCCCTGACAGACAACCGAATATGGCGGAATGCCGAAACGCGTTTGACGTCAAACCCAGAGTGGGTAGGCAGATCAGGATGATCTTTTGCGACCAAATAACCCGTGGTTTTTACTATCTCGTCTTACCCTTCTTATGACCCTGATGAATCACAGAGGATGACCAAAACCCGACGGGCGTCTGAATAACCAAAATGATTGGAAAAATGAATGATCTTCAACTTTCAGGCCTCAAAATGAAATGTCAATTTCTCAATATTACAAATGTTACTGGCTGTCGTTTCCACCATCTTTTCCACCGTCTTCAGTTGTGGGCTGGTTCCCGTCTCAGCCTGCTTATTTCCCTGACGAACAACCGAATATGGCGAAACACTTCTTACAGATCAGCCCGAGATATAACAGGCAGATCAAGATGATCGGTAACGACAAAATAACAAGTGGTTTTGCTGCCTTGACTCGCCCTGTTTATAACCCTTACATCTGAGAGACCAAAATGATCGGAAGCGACCGAGATAAATATTTGGAACAGTTAATTTAAGTATCACAATATGAAGGAATCAGCTTTCAGGCCTCAAGATGAAATGTCAATTGCTCAATATTAAAAACGTTATTGGCTGTCTCGCGTCCAGCGGCTTTTAGCATCTACATTGGCGGGTTGGTTCTTGCCTCACCCTGCTTATAACCCTGACCAACCACTGAACATGGCTAAACCTGATATGCCACAATCATCAGATTGATCGGTTTCGACCAACTTACTGGTTCATAACGCCTACACCGCAGGAGGAAATCTCTC